GTACTTGGCAATCATTTTAATTATCTCCTGTTGACTTACAATGCATCTGCCCTGAGAGCTTTAACAAACCTTTCTTTTCTTATCCCCACAGCCACCATCCACAAACCAGGAACACATCTCCTCACTTTAGCACAGTTTTCAACCTAGGTGAGATGGTAAGACCAATGTGAGAAAGCTTTTGCAAATGACATGCCTCTTAACCACTATTTCTGCTACTGCCTCTCTCTTACTCTATAATTCTTATGCACCTGTCTAGGAGAACAAGTCAGAATCTCAAGAAGAAGCGTATATATTTGAAACAGTGACCTCTTGGTGGACAGAGGCCTTAATCTTACTCATTTCAGTACCCAGCACTTAACCAAGTGTCATTTAGCAAAGACTGCTAAATGAAACCACTGAAACAGTTTATTAAAGAGTTTATTAGATAACCAATCATACCATCACCAAACTGAATATTTCTTGACAATTTACAGCTTCCTGCAGCATCTTCACAATGTTGAGGCAATATGCTATGGTTGCTGAAAGCGATAGGGACAGAATAGGATAGTTATACAGGTAGCTGCAGGGGTCCCAACAGGGGACTACAGGTAGAGAGGGAAACCTAGGGAGACCACTGTGAGTTAATGATCACTCAAGAAAGTTATCATAAAGAACATCGTGGAACAAAGCAGGCTTGCTTAACTATAAAGCTAAACATAAAAGCACGAGATATGCACCGGGTCATGATGTAGAAGAAAAATGTTTCAACTCCTATTGATCTGAGTAAGCATCATGATAATCCTAGTTTGACCTCACAGGGTCAGATAACTCTCATGCCCAATATGAAGGAGGAGCAAGTGATACAAGACTGACTCTACTCAAAGAAGGCAGTTTTTTCCCCCTCCCTCACTTTCCCTTGACTATATTATTGTAGCCTACCTAACCTTCGAGGCCGAGCTCCCTCACCTGTCTGCCTGCATCTCTCTCACAAGCATCCTATATTAATAAACCTACTTCTTGCCTATCACTTTGCCTCTTGCTGAATTCCTTCTGCACTGAGACACAAAGAACCTGAGCCTCAGTTAAGTCCAGACGCCAAGTGAGTGATTCTAAGTAAAAGACCGTGGGTTCAAATCCCAACCAGGGTTTTGGCTGGGTTCAAGTCCGGGCACGTGCATTCAAGTCCCAGTCTGAGGTGCACGGATTCAAAGGCACAGGCCTTGAAAGTTTCACAGACTCTGGAGCCAAATCAGTGGGTTGGAGCATAAGCTACACCGGGAAGCAAGAGCTCTAAACTTCAGGTAGAAGTTACTGAACCATTCTATACAACTGCCTCTTTAAAAACAGGGTTAATAAAAGCACCTACCTTACAGGGTATTGTGAGAATTACATGTAAAGAACTTAGCAGATAGTCAAACACTTCATAAATATGAGTGAACATTTTCATTATTATTAACAAAGCCCATACCATACAATGAAATTTGTTCCTTGGCTTTTATGACCTTGAAAGTGAAAGTCACTCAGTCGTGTCTGACTCTTTGTGACCCCATGGACTATACAATCCATGGAATTCTCTAGGACAGAATACTGAAGTTGGTAGCTTGCCCACTATCATTCACCTCCTCTCTGACTTCTCCAATTGCTTACTCTGTTCTGGTTTCTGTCAAAGTTCTAGCCTTACTGCTTTTCTTTCTTCTCACTCCTGGCAATCTCATTGAACTCCTAAGGCTTCACCTATCTTCTGCGTGTGAATGAAGCCAACCTTGACTTCTCTCTCCCGAGCTCCAATTCAGACTGCCTAGTTGAACACTTAAGTCATCACTATATCTCAGATTAGCAAATCTCCTTTCTCTAGGTCTGTGAAAGGCCAAGATTTACAATAATGAGCCCAACAAGAATTGGGAAATGAGATTAGCTTCTGAGAGCTTCACTTAAACACCTAAAGCAGTGATGTCTCCAGAAAGAATGGATCTGAAACTCGTTTTGGGTTGGCCATAAGGTTCATTCATGTTTTTCCATAACATCTGACAAAAAAAAATCTAAACGAACTTTTTAGCCAACCTGACAGAGCCACACATCCTTAATCAGACTTAAAGTATTTATGACATCAAAAGAAAAAACATGGCAGTCTATAGCAACCTAGAATGGCAAATTATAGAAACACAGGAAGTGCTGTGTCCTGGGGGCTCAAGAGCTCAGGGAAGCTCTAAGCCCAGGCACAGGAGGGGGGAAAGGTATGAAGATGGAATCTTGTGCTGAACACAAGACCTTCCCTGTATGTCTTCTGAGTCACCTGATGATTAGGCTCACTCAATTAAAATTTCACTTCAACTAACCCCACTTGCTCTGACTCCATACTTTGCTATTTGTCACGTAAATCCTTTTTATGGATCTGCTTCCCACAAAGATCTGACTCTAGAGAAAATCTTTTAGTCATATAGTCACATGGATATACTATTTTTATTTCCCATCCCTATTACAAGGACTTTCCATGATGAATTAATCAAGTAACTTTTGGTTACCCTGTAAGTTTCCACGTAACCTTAATTACAGAGAAAGAGATGATCTTACCAACATGTTGTTTGATCAATAAGTCGTGTCTGACTCTTTGCGACTCCAGGGACTGCAGTATGCCAGGCTTGCCAACATGAATGTTTCTACTCTCTATGGCAGTTACATTTTGTATTATGAATAAACTGATTAAAAGCATGAGTTCTGAGGACACATGCCTAACTTTGGATCCTGCTCTGGTTTCTACTAGTTTGTTCAGTGTGTGTGCTTAGTCACTCAGTCATGCCCAACTCCTTGGGACCCTCTGGACTGTAGCCCATCAGGCTCCTCTGTCCACAAAACTTTTCAGACAAGAGTACTGGAGTGCGTCGCCATTTCCTCGTCCAGGGGTCTTCCCAACTCACGGATCAAACCCATGTCTCCTGTGTCTCCTGCAAACCAGGCAGATTCTTTACCTGCTGAGACCTTGGGACCCATGAGCAAATTAATTAGATAATTTTGTGCTTGTTTCCTTATCTATAGAATGGGGATAATGAGTATTTACACCTCAATGAGCTGTCATGAGGAATAAAAGAGAAAATATACGAAACATATAGAACAACGTCTTGCACATAAAAAAATGCTCAATAAAAAAAAGCTGTTGTTATCTCAGAGCACTTTGGATGCTCAAGTTGTTTTGATCCTGGCCTGATCCTGCTGTGTGGATCCAATCAAATGTTGTTCCATAAAATGAGATCCTGATCAGCTCCAACCTTGCCTTAGACAAGGAGTCCTTAACCTCAAGGTCACAGTGAGCTTTAGAAAAATTTTTATTCAAAACTGAGTATAAATGGATGGTGTGTATTCTTCTCAGACAAGGGGTCACAGCTTTTCACCAGCTTCTCAATAAGCCCAAACGGATTTTTAAATATAAAACAAAGCTTACTGCCTTAATATCATCACTACCACTTTCATCTATTTTTCTCTTTTTATATAATTTCTACACCTTCTCCTAGGCCTCTTTCAACAGGTTACAACAATTTAAAAATTCTCTCTATGCAATATTATCTAGTATAATCCTTCCCTTTTTCAATACTGCCAGGTTACTTCTCAGAATAACTGTGGCAATATTACTTTCTCTGTTCAAAAACAGGACAACTGTCTTAATATCCAAGTATCTTCACTGAGCACTCAAGCCACTATGGCATGGCTATGATCTACTTGTCCAGCCTTGCCCTCCATAAATGGCCCTAAAGCACTGAGTGAGTCACTTGCCACTGCAGACTCCATGCAGCTTTCCTCCGTGTGTCTGTCTTCAAAACCAGTAAACCAGTAAATCAACACCCTCCTTCAACGGTCGATGTCTTTAACACATGGAGAAGGACCATTAAAATGGGTGCACACAACTGTGTATCAGGGTTTCTCAACTTTGGCATTACTAACATGTCAGGCTGGATAATTCCTTGCTGTGGAGGACTTTCAGAGGTTTTATAGCACTGGGGGGAAGGGGGAGGAGCAAAATCACTCCTGGCTGAGAACTACTAATTTATTACAAGAAATATATTTAATTTCCTCTGATAAACAGTAAGTTCTTTGAGGACAGGGACTATGGCCTTTTTAACTTTTATATTCTCAATTTTACCTAGTATGATGGTTTATGATAGGTTTACATAAATATTTGTTCTCTGCTGAAGTCAGAAGACAGAATATTCTAACCTACCATATCCCAAGGATTTCTAGACATTCTGTAAATTTGAAACACCAAATTTCAACCTGTTAAGTAAAGCTTTTAAAAGGTAAAAATGGCTATGTCATTAACATCACTATAATTTTCAACAAACTATCAATTATAGTTGTGCTCTAAAGGAAATGGCTATAGCACTATAAAGCTTAAGTGGACAATGGACTTCCACATCATATATATGATGCTAGTATTCTATCACTAAGGACTTATAGAAGAGTAACAGAAATTACTTCCTCCTCCCTTCAAATATCCTATGTATACAGGACATAGTGTTTTCTCAGTTAACTGCAAAGAAACATTCAAAGGCTATTTACTGAGAAAGGCCAGGCTTCAATGGAAGGTTGCTAAATCAGGGTAGGTTCCCTAGACCAGTGGTTCCTCAATCCTTCCTGCATATTAAGAAGTCTCTGCAGAATTAAAAAGAACATATTACTGAGCCTCCCTCCAGACCAATTAAATTAGATTCAGGGAATGGTACTGGAGATTAAAATTGTTTTAAAAATCCCCAGTGGATTCTAATTTACAACCAAGTCTGAGAACTGCCCTAGCCTGGTTCAAAATCTCATGTACCTTGACAGTTAACATAAAAAGCACTCTTTTTAGAAAAGTTTAAGCTCAATGGAAGGCTGAAACTTACTCTCTACCTTGCTGACTTGGGCCTGTACATTAACACTTCATCTTGAATTAAAAGAGCTGCTAGCCTTTTCCTGGGAGAGGCATTACAAAGAAACTCATAGTATGATTCTTAGGCTGCCACTCTACCACCTCACAGGAGCTGAGCACTTACACTCCTCTTTACTTGGTGAAGTTACATTCAGCTCTGTCGGAAGCGGCTGCTGGCTAGGACTAAGAGTTGGCGTGGTTATCGAGGTATTGTTGTTGTCACTGGTGGTCTCTTCGGAAAACAAATCTGATTGGCTGTTACTTGTACTTGGAGTGGAATCATCGTCTGGTTGTTTCTTTTGAAAATCTGAAGAGAAAGAGTGAAAAGAACAAGTTTAAATGTAAATGGGTTGAATGCCCCAACCAAAAGACAAAGACTGGCTGAATGGATAAAAAAACAAGACCCCTATATATGCTATCTACAAGAGACCCACCTCAAAACAAGGGACACATACAGACTGAAAGTGAAGGGCTGGGGGAAAGTACTTCACGCAAACGGAAACCAAAAGAAAGCAGGAGTCACAATACTCATATCAGATAAAATAGACTTAAAAATAAAGGCTGTGAAGAGAGACAAAGAAGGACACTACATAATCATCATAGGATCAATCCAAGAAGAAGATATAACAATTATAAATATATATGCACCCAACATAGGAGCATCGCAAGATGTAAGGCAAATGCTAACGAGTATGAAAGAGGAAATTAACAATAACACAATAATAGTGGGAGACTTTAATACTCCACTCACACCTATGGATAGATCAACTAAACAGAAAATTAACAAGGAAACACAAACTTTAAATGACACAGTGGACCAGCTAGACCTAATTGATATCTATAGGACATTTCACCCCAAAACAATAAATTTCACCTTTTTCTCAAGTGCACACGGAACCTTCTGCAGAATAGATCACATCCTGGGCCATAAATCTAGCCTTGGTGAATTAAAAAAATTGAAATTATTCCAGTCATTCTTTTCTGACCACAATGCAGTAAGATTAGATCTCAATTACAGGGAAAAAAAACTACTAAAAATTCCAACATATGGAGGCTAAATAACACACTTCTGAATAACCAACAAATCATAGAAGAAATCAAAAAAGAAATCAAAATATGCATAGAAATGAATGAAAATGAAAACACAACAACCCAAAACCTATGGGACACTGTAAAAGCAGTGCTAAGGGGAAGATTCATAGCATTACAGGCCTACCTCAAGAAACAAGAAAAAAGTCAAATAAATAACC